ATATATATATATATATATATATATATATATATATATATATATATATATATATATATATATATATATCATCTTTATTTGACTCTCCTCATTCCTTAAATAAGGAACTCACATCTGTTGTTAGAAATATCTCTTAAGGATACTATATTCATATTACATATATATATACATATGTATATACCGTGCTTACCTTCTGTCTTGTATACAGTACTATCTTCAGAATCAAATGATTGAATTCCTGTAGCTGGTGCACTTGTGGGAATAGGTTGTGAAGTAGGAATACTTTGTGGAATATCATTGTTACTTTCAGCAGCAGAATTCGATTCAGCATCTTGATCTTGATATGGTCATAAGATGTACATTAAGATCTAATATGCTTATAAGAATATAAGTTTTATGAGTAGTAAATTTTACCATCATTTGATGCTTCAACTGGCTCAACTGGTTCATCTTCCTCATCTGGATCCTTCATTGGTCCTGGAACTGGAGTTTCTCCATTTGCTAAACAGTTGTGAATATAAGCTGCTTTCCATTGTGCATATTTTCGATTTTGCATTGCTTCTACACTCAGTTCTCCAAATAGTGTTAACACATCATATAATACTTGAGCCGTGTAAAAACTCTGCACTACATTCTTAGTAAAATTGGCTGCTCTGTCATTTTTATCAGCATATAAAAACAGCTTTAAGGCCCAATTCTCCAAGTGTGCTTGAGCAGCTACTTCGTTAGTGATGGCTTCATTGTCGTGTAATGTCTTTTTGGTTGCCTCCAACCAGTCCATCAGCTTTAGCAGAAAACTTGTCTCTTCTGCTGTCTTTGTCGACAGTTTTAGCCCAGTTTGAAGAGCATAAAGACGACCTGTTTTACATAAATTTTAATAATTCTCGAATTATCTTTTGTAGTGAAAAGTGTGTAAATAATGTTAGTAGACATTAAATAAATAACGCGGACTTCTAGTATTAGACATTAATAGAAATATACTTACACCAATAACTAACAACGCTGTCTCGCTGGTCATGCTTCGCAGCGACCATTAAATATTGCTGAATATTTTTCAAAGGTTGTGGAATTTTCGGTAAGTCGGGTCCTGTCAGTGCCATTAGGATGAGAAACGTCAAAAATATACGTTAAAATGTAATTTCCTGTTTTTTATTTTTAACGGATCGTTCTTTTGATTTGCTCCTATTTAAATATCTTAACAAAGAATATTTTTTTAATCAATGTTCGTGATATCTTCAAACACTTGACAGTAATATTTATTATCGTAGAAAAGTGATTAACTCACATCTTACGTACGTCTCACGGAATTTCTTACAGATGCATTTTCATACCAACGACACAAATAGAAATGCGCAGTAAATTGCGGCAGTAGTACGACTTAATCAATTGTCTGTCCGACTGACCTTTTATTTTCAAGTAGTATAACTCAACGATGGAGAAGACAACTTTTTATTTTCAGCAGGATTCTACGACAAATCGGAAAACATTTTTATTTTCAAATAATACATTTAAATTACAAATCAATTTGACCTTTATTTTTCATATATTACGAGTTTCTTTTTTAAATAGTAGATAGTAAAAGTTGGTTTTACACAATGACGTATACGTAGATCAAACATTCATATATCTCAGCTACAGCATGGAATAAGCTGTAGACAATTAGGAGCAATTCAACTTTCTTACAAAATTTTTAAATTATCAATTGTCAATTTCGCTTTGCAGGTGAATGCTTAGTTTATGTATACATGTATTAGTTCCACTACCATTGTCACTTTACATGTGTATGTGATAATCAGCTGTTTGGTCATATGCCGACATGGCAAATTAAAATTATGATCAATGTGGAGAACACGTTTATACACGAATATTTTGTTATAAGCACACTTTAAAATTAAATTCTGTGATAAAAATAATTAAAGTGTCACGTTATTATTCTAATTTAATATTATATCAACTGTATTAATACTTTATATGATTGTTATTAATAGTTTATCGCTGTTATGTTTATATTGTTTGAAAAAGAGAAGTTCAACTTATTTTCATCTCTTTTTATGAATTTCCGTCACTCAGTTTCAAAACAATAGTTAAAAATAGTTTTATAAAGTTCATGCAATGTGGACAAGCAACTGATAATGGAGACTGTTAATGACTTGGAGCAATTTCTCACTGATACTTGGCTTGACATTGTCCATCTTGTACGTGAGTCTGCGGTTTATATAGATCATGCAGCAACAGAATGCTTACATTGGCATACTGGTGGCAAGACATACTCCTTCTTTAAAGATGCTGGAGCAGTATCTGTTTATGAGCTGGCCATGTACAATTTTCGTGTGAGTAATAAAAGTTTGATTTTTACCCTATATATAATTGATACTGTTACTTTATGCCACAATTATTTCTAATTTGTTACAGTATGTTAAAGTGCAAAATTGCAAAAAGGCAGTGATTATTTCGACTTCTTCCAACCCAGCTTTTTATCAACGCACAGTTAAGATGATTACAGAGAAAAATATGTTTGACTGCTGTACAATTGTCACTGCTGCACATTCAAGTGTATTGAATTATGAGGATACAATACCAATGGAAGATAGGGTAGATTATGCTAAATTGAAGAGGGATGTAAAAAGCTGGATGTGTTCTAATCATCAATCACATGTAACATTCTTTCCATATGTTCATAATATTGAGTGTATATATGTAGTGTATTTTTAGCTTCAAATTAAATTATTATATATTTAATTAAATTCAAATTAAATTATTATATATTTAATTTTCTAGGATTGCTCAGTAGTGGTACTATTTCGGCCAATTTTTATTAGTTCAATAGACAATGATCTATTGGTGACACCACCTTTTGGTGATCTATTACCATCCTTGAATAATACTTTAATAAAGGATTCTGAGTACATAGTTAATCACTTTGTAAGTTTATTTCACAGCTTGTTTACATACTTGAATTTTAAAGAAGATATTTATGCCATGGGCAAATTTAGTGAGTATATCGCTGAAAAATTGGAAACATTACCAGCAGCTATTAATCGTAGGAATGTAAGTTTTTTATTACAAAGTTATGTAATATAATAGTTATGCAATAACTATTATAAAAAAGAAAAATGAGCGTAATAGAAGATATTAATTTATTTTATGTACAACAGAGTTTAATTGGTGCAAAAGGAGTATCTTTAATCTTCATTGACAGAACATTAGACCTTTGTACTCCTACCAGTAATAATACTGAATCATTGTTGGCTAAGATATTGTGCACGTTGTCTCATTTACCTCATCATTGTAACGACGTTGCGATAAACATGTCTCCTCTATTTTGTAGTTCCCAGGTATAATAACTCATAATGTGGTTAAATGTGATATATGTCTCGTATGAATTCTATAAACAAAAAAAATATATAAAAATAATTTTAATTTTTCAAGAAAACCTCAAAGCTTGTTGAAGTACCAGGATGCTTGGCTAGCAATGACCGAAGTCTGATGAATATATTAATCACGAAAAAGCAGAAAGAAGTGTTGACCATCACAAATAAAATGCTCATCGACATTCTATCAATGAAAGAGAATCCGAAACCGAAGGAAAACCTGAAATCGAAGTTAACCATGAGAATTTCTGCGCATAGTTTAGAGAAGCTTGTAAATAGATTTAAAGACATTGGCGATCTTTGTGCTATATCAGAGCCGAGCAAAAAACTTCAAGTACGTATTTCATTTTGAATATTGAGATTTAATTATGTAATATATCTTAATGGTTAAAACAATTCTGGATGCTGTTACAATTTTTTATTATTATACATATAAGTTAGAAAATTAGATATTATAAATTATTTATTATTATTAGATATTATTTTTTATTATATATATGTTTGAAAATTATAAATTAGATATTATATTATAAATTAGATATTATAAAAATTATCCCATTACAGGTGGTGCTGGCAATTATACAAGCCCTAACGTCGGAAAAAACTTCCCAATTAGAACTGTTGATTAGTCTCGAAAAATTAGTTCTGCAAAATATAGCTGTAAGCCGTGAATCTACAAGCGTGCTTGGGCAAGTAAGTAATTGTCCCATTTCATTTTTTATGTTACCAATGACTGCATCATATTTTAAAATACTACACTTTTTCCTTCACAAATATTTTCAGTTCAGTAACATAATAAGAACACGTGAGAAACGAGGCCTAGATACAGACAATATATTGGCACTTTTAGTGCATATTTATGCGCTTGCTGGAACAGAGATACAATTTTCCATTCAGCAAGAGCAACAATTGAAGGAATCTATCGCTGACGCTGTATTTGAGGACATCATAAAATTAAACGAGAATACAATGAATAACAAAATGTCGGTCTATCAACAAACTTTATTGCTGTTTGGTTTGTTGAACACAATATATTACCATTTATATGTCATTTAAGTTATCTAAACTTTTTATACAATAATTATATATTTAACTAAATTAACTTGTTTTATAGAAAATGTCAAGTCTTATAATAATTGTATTAAGTTTTTTAAATATAAGTAATTAATGTAGAATAATATATACAAACTAGGTGTTGCTGATACAGAAGTCGTGAAAGAGATCTCCGTAAAAGTGGCGGAAAGCATCATAAACGTTCTACATGAGATAGCACAGCAACGCGCATTTTTACATAATTACACGTATGAAAATTATCTTTATTTCTCATTCATCTTATCAAAATTATCTCATTTCTTAGTTTCACACAAAAAATTCAAAAGTAGATGATAAATTTACTAATCAAGTATGATATTTTCAATATTTATATGTAATGTTTTTAATTGTATCTTATATTTTTATAATTAAGAGATAAAGTATAATTCATATTTATATGTGTATATATATATATATATATATATATATATATATATATATATATATATATATATGTATATCTCTTACAGCTCTTTAATGTCGAAATCGAGCTCTCAAGAAATTGTTCAACGTGTTGGTATCTTACAACAGTTACTAAAAGATATACTCCATCCAGAGAAATATGAGCTACCTGATTTACACCAGAGGTCCCCCTCATTTATTTCTGCCGGATTTAAGTAAGCCAAAATCAATAGCAAGTTGTTTGCTACAATATTAAATACAATATTAAATGGTTGTTCTTTCTAAATTTTTTGAAAACAATTGAAGAAAGCTAACTTGATTTTAAATATTTTTTTACAGTTTATTTTCCAAAGGTCGAATGAAACGTCATCCCTGTGACAATAATTGGGTTATTGTTTATGTTATTGGAGGTATAACACCAGAGGAAGTAAGAGAAACCAAGGAAATAATGTCAATATTTAAACCAAATTGTCAGATAACAATAGCAGGTTCAAGACTATTAAACCCATTGGATATAGTGGATAAATTTCTTCTATCTTCAATTGACTATTGATAGAAACTATTGTTTTATTATGTGCTATTAAAGAATCCACTTTATACCAGAATCACAAATTGTATAACAAATCTTTTTTACATCATCCATAGATTTCATATGGCATATAAATTTGGAAAAATTTTCATTTCTATAAAGTTGAAGTTTATAATTAACATCTACTCCTTCCAATGTGTGATAATTTTTTGTATATGGTTCATTTTTAGACATTGGTCTATCCCATTTTGTATACACTGTTACAATTCTAAATTGAGATGTACGTGTACGTATAAGTTTGACTAAACTTTTTATATAAGAATCTATACTGAGAATATCTTTTTTCCATCTCTCTTGCCAATAATATGCATATATATTATCTATGGCTAGAAGAGCAATCTTCTCATTACTAAGGAGCTCGTTCTCCAGCATGGTTAGAATAATTTGGAATTGATCATTATTACAACACCTGATTACTGTTAAGTTTTCCAGAGACTTATTCACAATAGAGTCCACTGTTTCTACTGGTGGTGTTACACTAATATTTTGATAAGTACTGTGTATCATAGAAGTCATGAATTCAGTTATTTTACTGATTTGGATCTGACCAAGTGTATCAATTACTATTGCACAGGCATTGCATCCATTAATTTTGATTTCTTTATATTGCACTGGTAATATACACTTTGCCAAAAACTGACATAATAACAAAGTCTTTCCAGTGGAAGATGCTCCAACAATTTCTATGATTTTGTTGTTATTGATACCAGTGGGAAATAAAACTTCGTCGAGGTTAATTGAAGATGGTTTCTCTCTGAATCTTGATAGTAACTCTAAGCCGTCTTCACAGTGAAATTGCATGTTCTTAATGATTAACGCCGCATTTGTTGTTTTCTAGTATATCACTGAAAAATACGCAATATTAATTAACGAATTTGTTGATCAATATTGTAAATTATTTAAAGAATTGTATGAAAACATACCTAAGAACAGCTGATGTTGGATTTATCTTATTTAAATAACATGATTTCAATACAATTTAAATTTTAATATGAGATATTAAGTCTTATATATGTCATATATTTACGTTGAAAATTAAATAAATTATAAGTATTAGAAAGGGAGAGAGATGTTGTTGTTGCTGTTTGTTGGTCTGAGGGAGAGAGAGAAAGACACGAAACACTGTGTACTAAGTGTACTAAGATAAAAAGAAAAACTGTTCTCAAAGTGCACCTTTTAGATACACTTTTCTAACACGTCGTATTTTAATAGAAAATATCCCATTGATATATAGAAAATATAATGAAACAGTGACGCAAAAGGAACAATGACTATTAGTAGAATAATTTATTGCTGTAGGGTTCTCGAAAATTATTTAGAATGTGATCGTGATTGCGCGAAAGTGTACTTCAATGGCTGCGTTCAGCAGAGAAAACTGCTTCGCTTCCGCTACGTAGCGAACTATTGGAGTATTCTCTTATATATCAAAGATCTGAAAGAATACTCCAATCGTAATGTTCGCTACGTAGCAGTAGCGAAGCAGTTTCTCTGCTAAACACACGCAGCCAATGTCAAGGAGAACGCTTGACTCCAGCAGTGTTTACTGTGCAGGCCGGTGAGTGATTAACATATTTTGCGCGCATTCTCATGTATTTGAGTTATTCACTAGAATAAAATATGTTTCGGTAAAATCGTAAGTTCGTGTAAACACAACAGTCGAAATATTTTATACGTAATCGTCGATGACATACGACATCGGAAACTTCGTGTAACTTTCGCGAACTTTGCTTGCTAGAGAGGCTATGTATAACGGCATTTTATCAAAGGTAACGCTATTTCTGCTACAATCCAGCACAGAATGATATGTAACACAATAACTGATGCGAAATAATCAGTAGCGTTTGATATTTTGGGCGGTACGCCTAAAGTACATTTGCAGGTTAGAATCGTTTCGAGAGAAAGATACAAATTTAGAGTTACAACGCGGCTACGTCTTCGACATTCAAGATTAGCGTTTAATGTATTCTATGTAAATCATTATTATCGTCGTCAAAAGGCCTCTGACTTGATCATTTACGCAGATCACCATTTGTCCTCATTCAGTTATTGAGTTACTGCGAGTTTGAATTTTAGCTTTCTCGAATCGTCACACTTGTTGAGAGGGGCGTTAGTGCAACAGAGAACATGCGAGTCAAACGAGCTCTCGTCAAGTTGTTTTATAATAAATATCCTATTGTCATTTAGAGAACACGTCGCAACATTAATGTGAAGATAGTAAACTCGGTCGACGACGTTGTTTATTGCGGTGTAGTTTTTCGTGGAATTCGATCGTGACTCGACGAAGCGGTGTGTTATTGACAAATTGACTTCGTCAGTATTTACTCGGTCGGTGGGTGATTGCATGTAACGCTCGAGTTTTGGCGGAATTAAATCACTCTTGAGAATAAAATTCGTCTCGACATAGGCCGTATTTACGTATACAATATCCGAGGGACTTGATCGTAAATGTGATATACGTGGCTGGTTTCGGGAGACGTTTCGTGAAGTGGCGGATTATCTCAGGTAACATTACCATCGTAATCCAGCACAAAATAATACGTAACACGATGATTAATATAAAAGGCATAATCAGAGGTGTTTGATTTTTTGAAAAATCGCATTGTTCTCTCGTATATATTAGCTAGCTTATATATTTGAGGTGAATACAGTATAGTTTGATGAGCGATCATAGGAAAAGAGAGGGAAGGAGAGAAAGAGAGAGGACGAATAAATATTGCGATAAATATAATATACGCAAAATTATTTAATATTTTATGCTCGAAATAAAGTTACTTTTACGATAAAAAAATTTTTACAAAAGTTAAGAGCCAACTTCTCTAACCTTTTAGTAAGCTAATTAACAATTCAATGTCTATCTTTATTTGAGGAAACAAAGATAGATATATGATTTAATTGTTAGTTTACACCAAGAAGTTGGTGAAAGTCGCGCGCGCGCGGGCCTAAGTGGATTATTCAATTTATTCATTTAGATTACTATGCATTTAAATTTTTGTATTTTCTTCAACCTTAATTTCTCGACAGACATCTAGATGGCATTAGCGTCACAGTAAAGTGACGGCAAGTCAAGTGAGCTTCCGTATCGTTCAACCGTTGTTTTGTAATAATAAATTTCTCGGTGCTTAGGGAATATGATAGAAAATTAATGCGAAGATAATCAGTTTGTAAAATTGTGTGTGTTCGCGCGAAGCTTCCGACTGACTTGTGGAATTTCACCGCGACGCGGTAAAGGTCAAGACGGTCGCTTGACTTCGTCAGTGTTTACGCGGTCGGCGGGCGGACAGCATGTAGCGCGTGAATCGTCGCGGAATCAAATCGTTCGCGTGAATAAAATACGTCTCAGTGGAAACTGTGAGTGCGTGATCAGCGAAGATTCGTTATGTGATCGTCAACGATATACGAGGAACTCGGTGCGCGATCGTGGATATGAAATACATGTCCGGTATTTCGTTCGCGTGAATAAAATAAGTCTCGGTGGAAACTATGAGTGCGTGATCAGCGAAGATTCGTTGTGTAATCGTCAACGATATACGAGGAACTCGGTGCGCGATCGTGGATATGAAATACATGTCCGGTATTTCGCGAAGTGGCGGATTATCTCAGGTAATGTTAACCTTGTAATCGAATACAGAATAATACGTGATACGATTATTAATATAGAAGGCATAACCACGGACGTTTAATATTTCGAAAAATTGCGTTGTTCTCTCTTAGATATTAGCTGGTTTTGAGGTGAATAAGTTATAGTTTGATGAGAAAGCATAGAGAAAGAAAGAAAAGAAAGAAAACGACAACGAAGTCGCGATAAGTATACTGTACATTTGAATTTTTTTTGAACCTTAATTTCTCGATAAACGTTAGATGGCATTAGCGCGCGTAAAATGACGGCAAGTCAAGTGAGCTTCCGTATCGTTGTTTTGTAATAATAAATTTCTCGGTGCTTAGGGAATATAATAAAAAATTAACGCGAAGACAATCAGTTTGTAAAATTGTGTGTGTTCGCGCGAAGCTTCCGACTGACTTGTGGAATTTCACCGCGACGCGGTAAAGGTCAAGACGGTCGCTTGACTTCGTCAGTGTTTACGCGGTCGGCGGGCGGACAGCATGTAGCGCGTGAATCGTTGCGGAATCAAATCGTTTGCGTGAATAAAATACGTCTCGGTGGAAACTGCGAGTGCGTGGTCGGTGAAGAAAAAACTCGTCGTGTGCTCGCCGACGATATATGCGTCCGAATCTCGAGAAATTTGTGCCATGTCGTTCGTCGCGAATCTGAAGTAGCAGAGACTACACGGAATGGCAGCTTGTCGAAGGTAACAGTCGCGTCGTAATTACACATGGTATGATAGATAAATAATATACTGTTGACATGATCGCTTGATGTTTCGGAGCAATCGCGTCTTTTGAATTTTTACGAATTTAAATCGCTTGCGCAAATCAAGTATAGCTTCGTTAAAACAACGCGATTTTATCGAGTCGATGTATAAAAGATTTTTTACATTAATGGTTATCGATGCGCGTTCAATGTTGCAGTGAATTTAATTATTTGCACAAATGAATTGCAAGGTTTCTCGGACTATGTAAATAATGATTGAAACGCAAATTTCTCGGAACCAATACAATAGAAAACGAACGAATACAATAGGTGACAGATAGGAAAATCGCGATGAACCGCAATAGTCGCGAGTGTTAAAGTGCCAAATGGATTACCACATGGATTACCAGCTTCACGAATTCATGGCTGAGTCACTGCTTCGAGGCTTCGTCGCATCACTTTTTGACAAGGTTCGTGATATTTTTCATTTGCGCACTTTTATCAGTGATGTTTGCAAACATAATAATTAGCATTTTACTCGTAATTTTCTTTAGTAATTTTTTTCTTTTAATTTTCTTTTGTAATTTTCTTTTATAATTTTTTTTGTTTTTACGATATTTACATACTTTACAGGAACACAATATTTACACATATTTAGTAGACATTTTTATGTATATACATTATCGGCATTGTGTGAAATTCAGGTAGGGAAGACTGGAGCTATTTGGTTACCGGGATAAGTTGGCAAAATCGATTATTCCTATTGTTTTTCAATAAATTTTAGAGTCAAGCAAGCAGGGATCCCAAAGCCATCTTTGACCCAAAGCCATGTTTCAAAATCTTTAATTTTGTAACTTGTTAGAAAATACTAGAAATTATTAATTTTGCCATCTCGGTAGTCAATTAGCTGTAATCAATTAGCTGTAGTCTTCTCTATTGTATAGAATTCTAGGCATTCTACAGAATGCCTATCAGTTTTTATGTATAATTTCTAGATATTCTATACAGTCCCGGATTTCTCACTTTGTCGGTAACATGTATATTATAATTTCGTCAAAATAGGAATGAGTATTACCGACCGCGTGACAGTCGATAATTCATAGTTGTCGCATCTTCACGATAGATGGCGCTAGTATGAACTTTTTGTCGCGCGCGACGCATGACAGTTTAGTTCTTTGGACTTTAGTTTTAAAGAACCGGTGTAATCGCGATTCATTTTATTATTGCATACATATATAGATTGAACTTGTCATTATATATTTTTTTAGTACAAACATCACTTGATATTGACACACATATGTGCATAATTTTTACTAATGAACACGTTCCGTGCGTGTAGGTTCCCATAATTGACGTATCTGAATTTATATGTTTATAAGACATATTTAATAATAAAATTATAAAATATTATCATTTAGAAAAATCTATCATTATTATTGAGGAGTAACGGTAATTTAAAAAAGGAATACAATAAGTAAAAAAGAAATGCAGTTATGAGAATATATGATATAATTGTGAATAGAAAATAAATATTTCTATCTTGACAATTTAAATAACGTGGGTGAAAAGTTATATGTAATCTGCACACAGCACGGAACGCGTTAAAATAAATATATGACAATGATTAAGCTCTGTGAATTCATATGATGCTCTTTAGCACAAAAAGTGCCTGACAAATAAAGCCCTGAATTGGAAAACGTTCTTCAATCATCTTATATAAGCTTTGGCGTCCACAGCCGAGCAATATTGCTAATAAAAATATCATATTTACCGCTTATATGTGCTATATACGACGCTTTCAATAACTGCTCGATAGGCATGCCGCAATCTCATGTATCGCAATCTCGAATCGCGAGTGCAGTCTCGGTCCTTCATTAAATTACGGGGAAGGGGAGGGAGGCGGGGAAGAGAATTTTTCTCTGTTTCCAATATCGCGATATTTCGCGTATCGAGGGAAGGCGAGGCCGTTAAAAGGCGGACTTACCGGAGTGCCTTCG